AGCAGGGAATACCAGAGGAATGTATATCTGTATTTCATTGGCTATGCAAAGACATTTGACGGTGTAGATCATAACAAACTGTGGCTGACTCTGAGAAGAATGGGAATCCCAGAACACTTGGTTGTGCTAATGCAAAACCTATACTTGGACCAAGAGGCAGTCATCAGAACAGAGCAGGGAAACACTGCATGGTTCAAAATTGGGAAAGGTGTATGTTAGGGATGTGTCCTGTCTCCATACCTTTTCAACCTGTATACAGAAAAGATCATCTGGGAGGCTGGGATCTATGAGGAGAAATGTGGGGTCAATATTGGTGGAAGATCTATTAACAACCTGCATTATGTAGATGACACAACCCCGCTTGCTGAAACTGAGGAGGACCTGATGCACTTGCTGCAGAGAGTCAAGGACTGCAGCCTTTAGTATGGATTGAGGCTCAATGTCAAGAAGACAAAGATTCTCACCACTGAACCAATTGGCAGCATCAGGATGGATGGTGAAGAGATTGAGATTGTTCACAGCTTTAGTCTGCTTGGCTCCACAATCAACACTCTTGGCACCAGAAGCCAGGAAATAAAAAAACATATTGCAATGGGAAAGTTCACTGTTAGGGACCTCTCCAGGGTACTGAAGAGCAATGGTGTCACTCTGGAGACTAAGGTGCGTCTGATACAGGCTATGGTCTTTGCAATCACTTGGTATGTATCAGAATGTTGGACAATGACTAGGGAGGATAGAAAAATTGATGCCTTTGAGCTGTGGTGCTGGAGAAGAGTATTGACTATACCATGGACTGCCAAGAAAATAAACAGATTCATCCTGTTGTTGTTGTTGTTGTTGTTTGATGCTATCAAGTCATAGACGACTCATAGCGACCCTATGAACGAACAGCCTGAGCACTATTCATATATAGAGTTTCCAGAGGCAAGCCATTTCGGAAGTGGATGCCGCTCCTGCTTCCAGGCTTGATTTAGTCGGGAAGCTCCAGCCAACACTGTCCACCATGGGTACCCATTACCACAATTGGCACATCACTGTCACAGTCTTCA